ACTGTGATGGCATATAATTGTAAACCATTCTACAATTAATAATGATTCAATGACTGTAAATGTTAGCACTACCATTTAGAATCCTGAAAGATTTACATTTTGACAAAAGCTGGAAGTGACTAATGCATTGTTGTTTTAGTAGACAACTTCGTGGTTCGAGTGAAAATTACAATAAACTTCAGTAATAACCTAAATTAGTAGAATGGTAAAGAGAAATTAAGGGTCAATAAACATATGTTCAGTCATAAGAAATCCAGTGTAAAACCATGACAAAATGAACACGGTAAACGTCGATAACGACTGTTTACCGGATGGAAACTACTATTAAAGGAAGATGAGATATGCGGCATTACTATCACTTAGCTGAAAAAACTTGGGAGGAAAGGGTGAATAATATTCATCAATTATACTCAGTCCAGTCAACTACACTCACATCATGACTTAAAAATTGAATTGTTGCAGGATTTTAAGTTTCAGTTAGTCAAACTTCAAGTTTCATAAGACAGTTTGTCTCTACATCAGTTAGTGGTTTATAACGACAGAAATGAATTGCAGTATTTTCATCGTAATTTACACTTATGAAGTAAATGTTGGGGTTCAGCTAGTTAAGCTGATTGAATAAAGTGGAGTTGTAGTTGAATGATTAAGACATTTTATTTTAAGCTAGGAAGTCATACATTCAAGATCTGAACAAGCCTCTATCTACATGCACATGGCGAATTGCATTTGATGAGATGGATCTTTATTGCGAAATGTACAAGAATTTTGTATCTTTGACAATTTCATCCCAATTTTTAGCCACATACAAAGGAAATTAGAAGTGAAAACTGTATAAAAAGTGATCATGTGAAAAAACGTGTAAAAAATAATCAAAGATGTGATAATAATTGGTAGCGCTATGGAATACAATAACCAGTTTCATCCTGGTAACTTCAAATATTCTTATACATTTGCGCAAGCAGGAGTATAAGGCTTCACAATACTATACTTCCCTGGGACATCACTAACTGACATATACCATCATAATACTTTACATTTAATTAAGTAAAATATCACTGTTAGGTCAGTAAATATGGCAAGTATCAGGCACCAATCGAAGGGTGAAAATCTGATCAATCCACCTTCATCCGGAGATCAATCCAAATACGAACAGCAGCATAGTTACGCTGTGTATTATGAGCGTGCATCACTGGTTTAAGGAGTCAAGATGTCTTTTCCATCAAATGTTTTATGCAGTATGAAATGAGATATCAATACTTTGCTGAGAAAAAAGCTACAAAGATCTAGTCATTCCCGGCAATGTTTGTATCTTATAAAGAAATTAGAAAATGACGAGAAAGTAAATTGCATTCCCTGTTAGCATACAAGTCCCTTCAAAAGATATTAATGAATACTAACACCGAGATAAACGGATTATGACTTGAAGTTGTAACATGAGAAGCATGACATTCCAGTTTCCTTCAACTACTGTAAGACGGATATCCATAGATAAACATTGAAAACCAGTTTGCATAGCCTACAGGTATATTAAACCTCGCATATTTTACTAGCCTCGTTAGCAAGTTCAGTAGTTACCAGCCGGTCCTAAACCAGGATAAAAAGGGAACCTTCGGCATACGACTAGCAACCCTACACCGGAAAACCAATCCACTCCCTCAAGAAACTTCGAAGCACAGACAAAAAATAAAAAAAAAACAAAATTATTCTCGCTGGAATCGGTGACACGAAATAATGCCAGTTGGTGAAAGCCTTCGGGAAGCCAATCGGTCGATGTCTCGTCACCTATCTCGATCTTAGCAAAAGTAAATAAAGGGACATGGAATGCCCGCACTATGTTTGAACCTACCAAGGCTGCCCAGATTGCAACCGAGATCAGAAGCTATAGTATTGAAGTGCAAGGCTGCGAATCTGCAAAAGCAGGTGGAATGGAAGTGGACTCTACAAACTGTCAACTACAGAGTCAATAATCTACTCCGATATCGTCACTCACACGACACAACAACCACGACCACAATGACTTTCCGAGTGGCTATCATCACATCCCCAACAGCATCAAAGGCTCTCATGCAGTGGCAACTAATCTCCTCCTCCTCCTCAACGATCAGGATCATGACAGCAAGATTCAACTCAAAAGGAACGAAAGTCACAATCATTCAATGCTACGCTACGCACATACAAATAATGCAAATCAAGAGAAGAAGCAGCAATTCTACAGACAACTGCAATCAACACTAGAAAAGACCCCAACCCAGTTGGCGACATCACAATTCTAATGGGTGGGGCGACATCAATGCCAAACTCAGAGCGGACAACACAGCAAGAGAACTAACCATGGGTCGAGAAGCACTCCGTGAAATCAACCACAATCAAGAACTGTTTCCAGAATTCTCCACATTCAACCATTTGGTGATTGGAGGCAGTGTGTACAAACACTAGGATATTTACAAATCGAGCGACATGGATTGGATTTCACCAGACACCACGACACACTAAAATCAAATCGACTTCATCTCAATCTCGAGAAAGTGGAGACGCAGCATACTGGGCACAAGGTCAGATCAAGAAGGGGAGTAGATGTAGGTTCAGACAACCCACACCACTATCTAGTGCAAGGAACCTTACAAACCAAGTTGAAAACCTTCAAAGGAGTTGGTGATAGACTACAGTTCACGTTCAACATGCAGAACAGAAACTGAACTGAAGGACGAAACTACAAAGCACATCTTCACCTCAGCCAGTTATCAGGAAAAAATGGGAGATATCGAGCAACATCCATGAAGAAACCTGTGTCGATGAACACTGAAACTATCTGAAAGCTATGTGGAAAGAAACCTGCATTACCGTATTACGAAGAAGAGGAAAGAAGATAAGCAATAGAACTCCACAGACACATGGAAGCTGATACAGCAGGGAGAGGAGGATGGTGAAGCAGAAGATGAACCAGTGCAGTGCAGTGCAGTGCAAGATGAACAACGACCATGAGAGGAACTGAGTACAACGTATAAAACACTACACTGGACAAAAAGTGAAGAAGACTACGCACAAGGCCAAAAGACACTTCTAAGACACACCATCAAGTGAAGCACAACAGGCTGCAGGTTAGACAGACAGAGACCTGATAACATTGTATCAAATAACCAGGTTACTATCTGGGAAGGAAGAGATCAACACACATGAAACCAATAAAACATGATGAAGCATATCTAATTAACACAGAAGAAAAACAAAGGAAACGATGGGTAGACGACTTCAAAAAGCTCTCGAATCGACCACCACCACCACCTGCACTTAGTCCACAAATACCACAAGCAGACCAGCCACACAACTATCACTGAACACAAGCCTTCCTACGACAAGAACAAGTTGAAGTCCTGAGCGCCATCAAGCTACTGGAATTCGGGAAACCAGCAGCAACAGATGGAATTCCTCCAGAAGCACTCAAAACAGACTCACAATCATCAACGAACATGCTCACACCACTTCTGAAGAAGGTCTGCAAGGAAGGAGTGGAAGGTACCTGCAGATTGACTGGAGGAAGGGATACCTTGTCAAACTCCCAAAGATAAGCGACTTAAATCTGCAAGAAATGGTGCGGAATCACGCTCCTCTACACACCAAACAAAATATTAAGTCGCATCATACTCGACAGACTAAAGAATGCACTGGATTCAAAACTATGACCACAACAGGCTCGATTCAGGAACTACAAATCATGCACCGACCAAGTTGAAACCTCACACATCATCATTGAACACACTATAAAATGCCACTCAACTCAACTCTACCTCAACTTCATCAACTTTTTGAAAACGCATTCGACAGCATCCAACCACAAGTAATTTGCTAGGCAACTGCTTCAACACTACCACAAACCTTTATCTGTCTCATTCAACAACATATGAAGACACAACATGCCAGCCAAGTAATTCACAATGGGAAGCTCAGTAATGCATATGGAGTGAAAGTGAAGACAGGGGTAAAACAAGGCTGCCTACTATCACACATGGTATTCCTGATTCTGGTCGACTGGATCATGCAGCAGACAACTGTGAGGAGCGAGAACAGGGTGATACGCTGGACCGGGGAAAAGAACCTACAAGATTTCGATTTCACCGATCACCTGTGTCTAATGTCACACAAACTAGAAGACCTACAGCCAAAATCCAACGAGTTGACAGAAGAGGCAGGGCAGCGAACACGGAACTTCCTTCAGTTGAACATAGACAAGACAGAGGTGACGAAGATATTCAACCAACAACATCTCCACCACCAACAACAACAATTCCACCACCACCACCACAACAACAACAACCTCCAATCACCATCAACGGGAGAAACTTAAAGCAAGTAGTCTCTTTCACCTATCCAGGTACCACTGTTCCAACTACAGGCGACACAGGCACAGATCACGACGTCAAAACCAGGATCGGAAAGACAGCAAGACAGGCCTTCATTAACCTGAAACCAGTGTGACGGTCTTCTGCACTCAACATAAAGTGTGAACAACATCCGGATTTTCAACACCAATTCAGTCAAGTCAGTGATCCTATATGGTTTAGAGACTTGGCGCATTACTAAAAACATCTCCAACAAACTACAGATATTCATCAACAACTATCTACACTGACTCGTCACTGAAGCTCAGATGGCCAGAATAGTAAGAATAGGCAACAAGGAACTTTGGTTAACTGGTAACGAACCAACCAAGAACCCATCGCTCAACAAATATGCAGGAGACAGAAGTGGAGATGGATTGGGCATACACTGAGGTGACTGTTTCAGGACATCATGTGTCAGTTCAGAGCCTCGAGTGGAACCCAGATGGGAAGCGACGAGTTGGGCGTCCGAGCCGAGGGTGACATGGAGGAGATCATGTGAAGATGAAATGAAAGCTTATAGGAAGTCTTGGAACCAGGTTGAAAAGGCTGAAGAGAAGAGAGTGAAATGGGGAGATGCCTCGGAAGCTGTATGTTCCACCCAAGGGACAAATAATAACGATAATAATAAACAGGTATATTAAAAGTGGACAATTCAATCTATGGTTAGAGTGGAGTTTAGGGGTAAGCGTTAGTACATAAAGATATCACCCACAGACATAACAAAGAATTTACACAAGCAATCCAATTATTCTGATCTACTACACATATATACATCTTTTTTCCAAAGATAAGCAGAAAGGCAGACAAAAGCAATAAGTTATTTGAGAAATATGCATATATTTGACAGGAAAAAACCATCATCATAATAATAATTCACTATTATTACAATTGAAATTATTATCGTGACCAACCATCAAATGAAGTCAATCTCTAAAATTCTTCAGATATAATGTGGTTAGCCAAATCCCTTGATAAAATCAAAGCGCTCATACGTGTACACATGCAAATTGAAAGAGAAATGTCATGAAGTAATACCTGTCCCATATAATATGGCTTCAAAGTAAGTTACAAGGTAAAAGAGGCAAACAAACATACAAGTGAAATAATGAACGTAAATCAGTCTTACTTCATACAGACTGAAAGCTGAACAATAACAATTATGATGACGATAGCAATCCTTCGTTCTTCATTGTTAGCAGTAGTGATGATTGAGGCACGACATGAAGATAACTTTTTTCGTAAGATAAAACGACAGGGCGAATGAAGAATAAGAGAAACAGTTTGAACAGTGTGAAACAAGTTTCTACACTAATTTCTTATTTCTTTTATATCTAGTATTCATGAAGTATTTGAGATGAACATGGAAAACGAACAAAGTTTTCTCAAGGAAGCAAAATGAGAGCAAAGAAACTGTTTCAAAGTGCATACAAGCAAATTAAAAATGAACAAATACAATTTTTGAACTTTTTTTTACAGAGATAAGATAAATAAGAAAATAAAAATAAAAATTAGAAAAGCGAATCAACAAGCCATAAAAAAAGTAAGAATGCAAATCAACTGTCGGTAGGCGCATATACAAATGAGAAGTAACAATAAACAACTGAAAGGTGAACAGTAATTAGTAATATAAAAGTACTTGCTTAAAGCTAAACCTTGAACACATTTACTATGAGATCCGTAAGCACACACATATTCATTGCCAACTGGAGAACAATAATATGAAGCTGGATGAGATAAATGAAAGACGAATTATGAACGGAAACAGTATTAAAGAAAAAAAACATGACTATAACTATTCTGTTTAAATTATCTACTGACTCATTGAAGAAGCACAGTTATTTCAATCATTTATCGATTCATATATTTCAGATCACTATGAAATTCTGCTTACTAATAATGACCTCTTACATGATCCATAAGTTGTAAATGTTTACTAATGATGGGACAGATGAATAAGTAAAGTTGAGTGAAATATCAACCAAGAAGAAGTTTGAGTCGGAAAACAAATGATGCAACGACAATAGTGATCAACATGATCGTAATAAGCATCACTATTATTATCACTACAAGATATTCGATGATGAAGAAAAAAGAAAGACAAATAAAGGAGTGAATATGCCCGAAAAGAAGACAATGTAATAATATGAATTAACACTAATAAAGATAAATATATGTGTATAAATGTATTCATGAGCAGACTGTGGAGTAACGCAGTTCACAATCATGTTCGAATAAATTACTAAGCAATATGGAAAAAAACCGATGGAAATATTACAATCATACAAAGAGCCGAAAACATTTAGGGCATTTTTGTTCACATATGCTATGGAGTCATCATAACTAGCAAGTAGATTATACTGTGAAGAAGATCAAATGTCATGATTCAGTTAAGATAATATATAGTCAATTGAAAGGGTCAAGAACTCTCCACTAGGACAGATAAGCATGTACCATTACTCCATTCACCAAACACACACATACAAGAAGAAACACATACCTACATACGAAATTAGCTTTGTGCCTACATGTATGCCGGATATCCTTTGAATTCATCAAAGGAAACAAAAAAGCTGAGAGAACCTATCAGAAAGAGCAAGTAAGAAGAGAAATACAACCATGGCAGAAGGTTACTTTCGAAGCACAAAATAAGAAACCACAAGAATGAGGCGAAGAATCAGGCTTTTAGCTGTTTCCAACAAAACTGCATACATCTCAAGAAGACATACTAACATTTTTTTGTGATCGAACAGATCAAAAAGGAAGAGCGAGGTAAATATATGTAGTGAGAGAAAACGAAGAGAGGGCAACGAAGACAACGAAAACGTGGGTAGTCCCTTTTCTTGGGCTTTTCTCTTATATGCTGTAAATGCCATGTAAGAAAGCAAGGTAATAATGAGATACAGGGAGAAGAGATTCGAATCTTTATCAGTGTTATAAACTTACAGGTAAGAATAACATTTTGTACGTGTACGCAATGATTGCATCAAAGTGTCATAATATTAAAAGGCTTATCTAAATGAGAAAGTTTTAGTTGAAGAGGAAATTAGAGGAGTGAGACAATCCTTAAAAAGGACTAAATGAAAATAAACAAACAAAGCTGAGACAGAAACAAAAAACCGAGGAAGAACGCAAGAAAATCAATCGAGAAAAAGAGAATAATTGGGTATTTTATAAATGCAACCGGGGTATTATTCTTATAAAAAACGTTTTTCATTATCTTACTCGAATACACTTATCATCGTCAAAGTTTTAATGCAGCAAAAGAAAAAAACAGCGCTTGATAAATAATATTATGCGTTAATGACGTGCTGCTCCACCACCTGCTGAAGAATTCGTGCTTGAGGTTGTTTTAGTTCTTAAATTATTTTTGGTTATACTCGTTCTAGCAGGTTCTGATCGTGATGCAGTACGAGATTGCGAGTCACCAGCTTGTGTAGATGATACAGGTTTACTGTTGCCACTATTAGAACTGTTATTAAAGGTAGAAGAAGTTGGTGGTGCATTTGCAGTACGTGTGCCAGGTTTTGAAACATGAGATCCATTACTACGTCGGAGATTGGACAATGCACTTTTAAATCGACCACGCATTTGAGAATTTGTTTGGCCTTCAGAATTTATTGCACTATATGATTTAGGATGAACGAGACCAGTTTCAGTTGATAAATTACTCGACTCAGAACCATTTATATTATCAACAGTACTAGAACGTAGATTATGTTTCGAAGAATTTGAAGCAGACGGCAGTCGTGAAGGCATAGGGCGCGGAGTAGGTAAATGATGTTGAGGATAACAATGATTATTAGATGCTTGTGAAGTAGTTGCAGAAGTGGTTGATACTGTTGCAGGGACTAATGGTACTGACGGAATGCGACTATTAGAGTTACCATTCAAAACAATTTGTCGGCGCGTTACAACTGTGGCTGGAGGAATATTTGAACGCGGCGTAGACTGGTAAAGAATCATAGAAATGGTCGGGGATTAGTGAAAATTAATTTTAGCATGCAGTGAAGTCAAATAAATTCACTTATTGTTTTGTCTTTATCATTTTTATTACATATGATTATGTAACAAGTAATCGGTGTGCTACTCTACTTATTGCATTGTAATTTACCATTGTGACCAATTAGTGATTGATGTTAATTCATATCAAGAAAACAAGTGATTGCATTTTAAGTAGGTGCCACATAAGAATAATCCGTAACCTATCAATTTTCTCAGACGTTAAATAACAGAAATATGGTTTTCAGAGAGATATACAACAAGCGGACTTGTTGTTCGTGAGAGCTTAGGTTAGAAACATATCACGTAGAGGTTTCAGTGCATGAAACACCCAAATTACTGATGCCATGAAGTCCCCAAATAAGACAATTACAACTATTCCAAACCGTCTGACAGATATTCGTCTGAACTGCAGTCAGAAATGGATGCAGAAATTAAGAAAAAGAAATGTGTTTATCACAATCATTTTAAGCGAATATAGTACTATTCGATTCAAGAGTTTCAGTAAGCAGTAAGGCCAATAAGTCAACCTAACACGGAAATCGACAGCTCCATAATCCAGTCTTCAGTGTGATTTCAAGAGTTGAGGTGAGTTGTTTCACAAGTTCGACTAATTACTACATGTCTCTAGGGGAAAAAACAGATCGAAGATAGAGTCCGAACGTTGATTTCAAGTAAAATTTAATAAATTTTATGACAAATAACAAAGCGAAAGAGAAATTCCGTCTGAAGATGAATATGAAATGGAAATAGATTTACAAGTACCCATGCCACATCTATGCTTTCCATAATTCAATAAGATGCTTCGACAAATTTTATAAAGTACGAAAGCCATTGAGAAATAAAATGGTGTAGAATAATTTTTAAGTCAACCGATCAAATAACTGCAGAGAGTTTTGTCGTTTTTAACCATTCCGATAAGAACTAATGCAAAATGAAGAAAGGATAGTCTTAGGCCTACACATGAACTGATTCAAAAAGTATTTTTTTCGTAAGGAAGTACCTTGAAGATCTACACTTAGGGTGCACTATCCGTGTACAATTCAGCTACAATAACATCTTTTGCCACCAAAAATGCAATCAAAATGGCGTCTCTGTTAGGCACATATTTCCCCAGATACTGTTATGTCCCGTTTAAAACAAACTGTACTTGACTTAATTGTCGAACAGTTAGAATTCTAAAAAAGATTTAAATCTACGGAATCCATTAAACTTTTTAAAACCATTACTTTTACAGAGGAGATGTAGTCGGATTTAAAGATACCATTCCTCGATATTCTTCTAACACAGGATGGACTATCACCAGTTTCTCAGCTTGGTTTCCAAAAGCAGCAAGAGAAATTTAGCAAAATTCTCTTTCAACTTGAATCACAAAGGTGACTTTTGAAGAACTAGAGTCTTTGACGTCCACATTCGTAAAAATTACAAACGTAGAAAGCCTCATTCACAAAAATCTAAATTCGAAAACCCTGCTATCAAGAATTTGTCAATTTCAAATAAATATTTAGTGAGCTTAGAACCGAACAGCAACATAGCAGATTGAGTGATGAAGCGTAGATTGGTAAAAGCTGACAGAAGAATATTCTATTAAGTCACATTCTGAATCACTTATTCTAACGACTCACTGGTGAAGCAATAAACTGTCAGCTGAGACTGTTTCGATTGGCTTGTAACAGTTCAACTGCTCCAATGAAGCAAATGTGAAAAGTACTCAGCAGTATATAGTTCACCGTCAATGCGAGTACTCGCCAGTCTGACTCAGTATGGATGAATATATACTGAATAATAATATCATCCTGCAAAACTTGGTTAACGATAAATACATGATATCAGAACATTTATTTGCATAGTCTACAGAATACAACAGAATCTTCAGAAAGTCGCGTGAAAATGTCTACTACGCTTTGCTGAAGCCTTAGCAGAGAAGAACTGGACGCCCAAAATCTCTATCAAAAACAACTTTTTTATTCACTTTTGAGCAGCATTGCAAAGTTTCAAGTTCAACTAACTAATTTTATATTTTTATTTTGTTATGACAAAGACTTTCAAGTTACTAGTTTTTTTTACTTTGAATATTATTCTTATCCTGACCGATAGCTATTTACTCACTTTGTTGCGTACTTCTCACTTCCTGATTTCAATGATTTATTTCACCATAGTTTCTCATTCACACACTTTGATGTTTGGTATGCAATCCTCAGTCTCATAATATTTTCTTGATTACAACCTAATAAGAACTATAACTTTACAATTCATCTTGACAGTCTATATCAGTGTATCTAAAGTCAAACAATCAAGTGTATTTAAAAGCTATTGCACAGCTTTTTGAGAATAATATTGCTAAAAATTTATCTTTTATTTTTAAAAATCCATTAAGACATTCTGATGATCAAATATAATAATTCCTAATGTACAGATTTCAAAGGAAATTCAATGACTTTAAGCAATATATTGAAAACTATAAGGATAATAAAATTATGAAAGCGATAAATAACTGAATGAAGAATATTTATCATCCTACCTATAATCATGTTTATTATGAGTGAGATAGGAAAATAAATGTAACTTGACGACGATATAACTTTTTTCTTATTCTGGACCGTCTAGATTTGTTATTAAAACTTACCTACAGAACAAACTTTTACAAACGACAGTATAAGTGCTGGAATAACAGAGTCAGAGATAAACGACAGTGTGCCATTAAAAATAGTTAACGCTGAATTCATTGACAGTAACATTTTGTTTGAGATGAATAGGGATTTTAATTTAGAGGTAGTATTCATAACGGACTGACATCAGCTGAAGAACTATTGAAGGCCTGAGAGCATTGGACAGCTGTTTCATCCTAGCATGGAACTCCTCAGCAGTATGTTAGAGAAATTCAGAACCTTCAGGTTTCACGGTGAATGCGTTAGCCATTTAGCCAATGAGTAGGAGTTCAGTGGTTCGCAGTTTTCAACTAAGACGAAACAACTATTCAGTGCTCCCAGGTTTTCAATGGTTCCCCAACTGATGTCAATCCGTGATGAATACTACCTCTAAATAATATTTTTTGGTAATTTATCCGAGAACGAAAATTTAAATAGCAGAAAAAATAGATTTACTGGAAGTGTGAAGTCAAATAAATACCTATCTGACAAAAATTCATAACTTTAGTGAGAAAATACACATGTTGCCTTACCTTGTTATTTGACAACGCTATTTCGCCTCCATGGAATTGATGCTGCTTCACATTTGTGGATGCTTGAGTAGATGGAACAGATGATTTTGTAACGTTACTCACTATCTGTTGATCTACTACTGGTTTACGAACTTCAATTGACAAATCTAAATTAAACGGGAATGCCAATAACTGTTCTAAGTGGGTCATTAGGTCAGCGTGTAATTCCCGTTGACCAAAACGACACTGACGAATGAATGCATCTTCACAGTAGAATCTTCGAAGTAGCGTATCATTGGCAACAAGGGCATTTAACCACATTGGTAAGGCTTTTGCACTAAAAAAGATTTTTTTTAAACGTATACGTATGTACTATTTATCGCTGCACCAAAATGCTAACAGCCATCCAGTGATATACATACATAAACTCTTTAGAAGTAACCGATTTAAAATATTTACATACAAATGTTCAGATTGGAAGTGAACTTTGAAGTGAGGTCGCTATTGGTAGTAACGGTCAGCACAATCCGTGTAACTTTGAATGAAGCGAATGTGTTCAATCTTTTTACGGGGAGTTAGTTACACGACAACTGCTTCGTGAAACTCACCTTCCTGATGCATACACTACTCTTAGTCGGCAAGAACTTGGTGAATTGACTGTTTTCAAATTTTGATCTTTGGGAAGTACTACTAACCACATATCATTCCTGGTTAGCTGAATCGCATCAGTTCAACATCAATGAATGATAAAGACATTACATATTCATATTCTCCTTCATGAACCTGGGTAGATTTTGATGCTGAACTATTCTCTTTAGTTTTACACTAGTGGTAATAAGTCGATGACGACATTTTTCTTTAATGTGTCGGTTTTTTGCTATTATTTTCGTTTTGTAATCTTGTTTAGAATACACAGACACAACTCTTCAATAACTCGATTTCCAATGGCTAAAAGACAGTATTGAAGTCTGGGTGCATCATCATTGTTATCTCGTTAAAGTATCATGCGTTTGAGAATTCCTCCACCGCTTAGATATTCATATAACCAAAGATTTTTAAGTTATTCTAGTCGAACTGATGATCGTAATGGTCGAAACATGTTGATTACCACTCAACTTTTTAAAATCAGTCAAGCGTTTGGACGACGTGGACGTGGTGACAGGTGATCACTTTTATTATACCTGACTTCCCTCCCTTGCATAATATGCTTTATGATAATGGCTTGTGGTACGCAAAAGTCTAATTTCACTGAGGAAGACTTGATCCAACCATACAACAGCATATATCTTCTGTAAAAATGATCGCACTTTACCTAGCTAACGTCACCACAAACTAAATTTAATGTGATTTAATTGGAATGGCATTCGTGAGATTATTGCGTGGTTTACTGGTCTAGGTGCTCGACTTTTAAACAGTGGGTCACGAGTTTACACGCTTCACCGACTGAAGGTGTAGGGAGCCAGGTATTATCATAAGCTCTCACACACAATAGGTATGGCTCGTTGCCTACTACACGAAAGTGCATGCGGCTGCTGACTTCATTTCGATAATGGGGTCAGTCAAGTCGAGAGTGAGTATCGATCCCAATGAATGACACTGTGATGGTCATGCACGCTATATCCGTGATGAAAAATACCTTATAAAGAGCAATGGTTTTTTCCACATAGCATCATAACTCTACGCTCCGTTTTCATTTGAAACAAAAACGCCTAGTACTCATTCGAACTACGCAGATTTTTGGTAGCCCTTTAGTTTCATCGTAGTAAAATCGTTTCACTCAATGAGTCAATACACTAATTAGCTAACGATCAGCAAAAAGAGAACAAGGTGACAAATAGGATTTACTAATAAAACCAAGCAATTTACCATCGCTAGCAACATATAACGATGACCGCACTTCGCAACGCAACAAAATCAGTATTAATCTATTATATACATTGATCGTTAATTGGCTTTTAGCATTTTCTTGATATCTCCCAGTGATATTCAACAGTTAGTTTATGAATTATTTTTCATGAGCAAGACTGGTAATACATCCCAGAAAAGTTCTCTAATTCACCTATTTTCCAACTGGACTAAATGATTGCAGTAGCCTGGATAAATACTTGGTGATATGTTATGGATATTTATTTATTAGCAGAAGTTTTCTCAATTACTAGACAACTTAGTAACATAGACGTGCATTGATTAGAATTGCTGAAATTCACAGTTGTGTATAGGACAAATTAAGTTCAAGAAGATAAAATTAGACGAATTGGTTATAAGATAGTAAGGTGATGTTATGATACGCATTGTTGTTCATGTAATCCAACACAGCCTTTCTGTTACAAAACACTACAGTAAAGTGCATTATGTCAACAAGATTTTCCATCTATCAACATGTATTAGCAATCAGTTCCTACTTCACTATTCTACACTTCTTCAAAATGATGAACCCGAAAGCTCATGAAAGAACAGAACACGTTGGTTTTCCATTTGTAGAGAGTATATTTCACCGAGAGTTTTGCACCATGATTGCTGTGAACTTATTTAAAGCTTTTTGTCAATATTTAAGAATGAAATTGTTTTATCCCTTCTTTCTCTTTCCACAGCTTTTGATTACATTTCAATGTACGTTTCTCTCTTTTATCCTGTTGTGATGACATTAGATGTGACAACTTGAACTATCAAGTTCCTTGTTGATTAACCGATCGACGTGCTGCTTTCATATGGATTTACTATGCTTGTAACAATAGTCCGAGTCCCGGTGGGAACAACATCACTCACTGAGAGGCAGGTACATCCAGCTGACGAGTCCCAAATAGAACGAAATGCGCACCCTGGATTCCACTGCTAGCCTCGTGCCCATCATTACTATACATAGTCTTGTAAAATGCTAATGATGCTTTTAAACTCTCAGCAATCAGACAACTGAAAATTAGGCTGTCCTATGCAAATAACCAGCGCACTGTGATAAAAACACACCGATTTCATCATTTCAGCTAGTTGGACTGAAACAGAAGATATTCTATGTAGTTAACAATGCATAAATGTTATACAAATAGTCCACAAAAATTGGACTTCAAATATGTGTAGAAAATAATAAATTGATAGCAAAAAATGCGATACACGAAACATACTTTAAGCAAGCGCATATAAATGCTCTGAATTTTGTTTTCTCCAAAGTGATGTTAGTCAACGCTTTGACTTGACTAATAGCATCATTCAGAACATGATAGGCTACACCGGTAGGCAATGCACCTAAAAGAAAATTAGTAAAAGACAATAAATAGCAAACATATGACTAATTGTACACATTTTATGTCATTTTCGTCTGTCAATATCCAAGGTACATGTTAAGCAATGTATTCGATTAATCTGAGCAACAGCATTCTTGACAGTAAAATTGATTTCAGGTCAGGTAGCTTTTCACATTTGCATATGTCATTTTTATTTATATCTATTTCTTTATTCATTTAAAGGTCTAGGTTAGCAATATGTACGACTATTAGGTCTTCTAATAAAGAAATAAGGTGAACACAAGCACATAACACAGAAGGACACACCTAAGACAAATTATACTTTTGGTCAATGGATGTACATAAATATACATACAACCAGTTGCACTTGTGCATACACAACCTGACTATTCAGAATCTTTTCGTTGTGTGCATTCACGTTAAATGATAACAAGAATGGAAAATAAATTAAAGGCAACAAGTAAATAATCACTTTTAAGTATGAACATAATGCACATCATCTTAACAACAATCTTTCAGTACATTACCTTGCAAAAAAAATTGGAAGTTAACATGACGGAAAAAGAGATTTGTAAGTGGTTGAATAGGTAGGTAGATGCTGATCCTTCAAAGCCCAACGAACTTAAGAAATAATGCAAACCAGCAGGACGCGACGGTTTGCCAAAACTAGCTCTTAAGGTAGGAAATTATTGAGTAAAGTAAATTAGGTACTTACTAGTTAGTGTATGGAAATCAGACATGGTTCTGTCAACGACATGTCTACATCGTCGATTATTCCAGTTTAAAAAAGGATAAAGTTTTTGTGTGACAAGCACGAGGGAATCTCTTTGATCAACACCGTGTATCTAGGAGTGTTTGAAGTTCAGCTTTGGTTGTGTTACATCAGGGTTGTAAAAACCCAGACCATCACCAAATGACACAGTAGGGCGATGCTTTTTGAAATAATCTGTTCTAACACCCATCAATAGGGAAGAAAGCGTAAGTACGAAACGGCTGCCAACCACGTGAAACACATAAATCCTGTCAAACCCCATTCGGCCACCAGTATGACTTACTGACCTCACCAAAGAGAAAGCTATTTACACTACGATGGTGACTTCTTTTAGTTCCACTCCTACCCAAGAGGTGTTTCTGGCACAGTAGGACATCAAAAACAATCCAGACAGCGTAGCTCGTTAAGTCATTGTGATAAACAAGCCCGATCACCAAGTCAGAGTAGTAGCCGTCGCGTGTGGGTATATCGCACAGCAGCCCACTTTCCTATTATACACCTGTTAGATATAGCCACTGAAATTAGGTATGAAGAGATTACAGGTTTCTGACCAAAAGTGTCTTTGCAGCATGGCTCACTTATGGTGCAATGTACGCGCTGTCGAGGTTACGCGAAGAGTACTAGGTACGGCAGGTAAGTCACTCGATGAGGTAATAAATCATTATCAGTTGAGATGAATCAAACATGTGGCGTACATGCTGAGCCACTGTCTATGTCAACGTCTTATGTTAGCTGAATTAGGATTCAGTTGGAAGAAGGCATAATACAGCCAAACCAAGACGCTGCATTAGTTCACGAATTTTCTGACTGGTGATCTCAGCTGTATAAGGAGACATATACAGTCTGGTTGGAGTCCTAGAGACGAAAGGGATCAATGATTGAATACTCATGGCGACAAGGCTGAAAATCAACTACAATGGCGTGGACGTTTTCATTCTTCATAATCTCAGGGGTCGAGTATTTTCACTAACTTCCATCTACTTATTTTCTTTTGTTCTTCTGTACATCAATAATACTACTTTTCTCTTCACTTTTGTTTACATGTTCCAATAAATCCTGGCAACTTGAACTGATGAACTATTATATCAGATACTGCGTTGATTTGTCTTTGTCTGTCAGCTCGTAACAAAAATATTTTACGCACATAACTCGAAAATGAAAGTGATGAAATTAAAACAATCATCGACTCTTTTTAACTTCATTGGGGTATGTTCAATGAATCTATATTGATCGAATTGTTGGTAGCAGCTACACAAGGCCAGTGATTTGATGCGATTTATTGATAACCCCTGTCGAATGAAATTGTCGTTGATAAGTTTGATACTCTGCTACAGTAAACTTAGGGTAGTAGAGAAATCTAGTTAACAAATTAGGATAAACTAGCTCGTGAGTTATTTGGTATTTGGAGTTAATCAGGGAATCAAAAAACAATAATCTGTGGAAAGATTTAATAAACAAGCATGAAAACAATAGTAGGATCAACAGGTTTAATGTCTTTGAGTTGTGCACAGAGGTTCAGAACACTAAATGCAACATGATTTCCCTTGGTAACTACATGACCTTCATTCGATTCGTTAAAGTTGATTGTTAGTGAAACTGTATGTAAACAGGAAATACACATATTTCAAATAAGTAGCGATCTGATCTAAATTACGTCCCAGCTAAATCGGGCGCTTCTTTACAGGGCACCAATGTATGAAGTCTCTGACTGTTGGTTTAAGCCATGTAGGACGATGCAGACTAGGTGGTTGGGGTCCACGGGACAAGAGGAACCAGTGGTTGGAGACCCTAGGTGATATGGCTCAGAACCGAAGTCAGTGGCGCAGATGTATACACACATTATCCTCATCTTAACAACGCTATACCGAATCTCACTATTTTGTCACTCCTCTTTCCTTTCTTCTCATACTTTATATTTCTTTTGACTGCATTCACTTATCTTCATCCTTCACCTCACTACCTTTTTACTTGATGTGCTGATATGAGGTGTGGCAACTCGGACCGTTACGCAGTAATGCCTGGTCCTATGTTGATAATGATGATGATTACAGGGTAGAATCAACCCCGTTCAGACTATGTGAACAGCAAAACGAAAGTAAACAATTCAAGTCAACAGTTAAAATTATACCAGCGCAAACAAACAAAAAATAAAACAATATTTACCAGGTCTACAACTCTCTTCAACCAACTGCCATAAGCGTGTTCGTGGTCGAGAAGTGAAAATGGGTTTGGCAGGTGGCAGTAAACCATCACATAATAGGATAGTTAAAGGAGGAACGACTGCTAGGAGAGGCTGACGTCCTGAAGAACCAATTGCTTCGATTTTTGAATAAGGGAAAGCTTCTTGGGAACTGTTATCACCATTCAACTGTACATCAGTTTTAGATCTCAGATTTGGACTACAATAGTAAGCAACTGTTTCTTGAACTGCCTTAATAACATCATTGACCATAGCTGGTTAAATAGAAACGGAAAAAGAAAAAGGAAGTGAAAGAAGGATAAAACAAAGCATTTAGAGTCCCATCGGTTTTCCACCTGTGCACGTCGTAAATCCATACTCATAATACAGATAACAAGCTAGGGCTAAAAAAAATACTGCAACCCACCAATGGCTTAGGGATTTGAAACATCTAATGTGACATAGAACACTACTTTCACTCTTTTCTTTGATAAACTAAATCAGTTGGCGCATAACCCGATTCCGAGCACAGAAATCAAAGTCAAATCTTACCATATCTTGAGCACAGTTCCAAGATCTTTCTACTCAATTACTTTTCTCAAAATACCTCAAAATGACTGACTAGCCAACATGACATTTACACTAATTTTACATTCAGGACATGAACTAATGTGTATTTGCAGACAGCTTCTCCGTATTCAAGACTAAAAGCGAAAATGCTAAAATCCAACTTAGTTTATGAATGAAGAGAATTCATAATGTGAAGCTGATCTTTCAGTCATGCAATGGATAAAAATGATAGTTTGTAATGAGGTTATAAAATCTAGTATGTTGTGTTTCACCTAGCAATCAATGATTTTCCGATGCCTAAATAACATCAACGTATCATATGATCTTCCTAACTATGACTCATACCAACGATAAAAAATTCGCTTTACTTGTTATTGATTTGAATGTTTTGATGGTATTTTAGATAAAAGGTTTTGGATGCACACTGGAAAACGAATGGCGACAGCTTGATGTAAAGTAGCAAGACAGTAAGCCACATAGTAAAACTGCTCACAGATGTTACTCACATCGGAAGTTAACATGCAATACAGACAGAAACAGACAAAATCAACATAAGACCTGGGATTATTGCGTAGTGGTTCCAGTTGCTACATCAAATGAGAATGCACTAAGGTGACGATAAAGAATTCAGGAAAATAATAACCAAAAATAGTAGAAAATCAACAAAGGATGGGAATGAAGAATGAGAGAATGCTGAAATCCAGTTTGACTACTAACATGAAAATAAAATGCGGATACATCTCCGCTATTGAAATCGATTCTGAGCTATATCATCTAGTCTCTGATCCCTGGTTTTTGTTGTCGCGTGGACCTCCAACCGGGAAGACTACATTCCCTGCACGTGTCACACTAACGGTCAAAGACTCCAATGATTGACCTCATAAACAACACACAGTAATTTTAATTGACGTGACCAAATAAAAATCACAACAGTCAGGATATAACAACCACCAATGATATTGCTGAGTTTGCATTGGAATACAATGCTTAGAAAAGCCTATGCTACGAAGACTGGATTGACAGTTATAATTTGGTAATATCAGTGATAAACCTTTTGAGTCCTTTAACAAAAAGTGTGCATTTATTAAAGGAATGAAAGTGCGATTAGGTGCGTAAACCTCACAAGCTAAATATCCCCGTAATCACAATTTAAGTGCAGAATGACACAGTAATTTCAACAAAGTATATATATATATATATATATATATATATATATATATATATTTCACAGACAGTAGCAATCAGTGAAAGCATAGTAGATCATTCAATAGTTTAGAAAGATCTAGCAGTCGCATTGTAGTCTTCTCAGAAAGTAATATAGGATAGATTAGTGAGGATCAAGAAAATGGAAAATATTTTGTACTTGTTAATGTTGGTTACCCCTAAGAATGTAAAATTGTTTTTGTGATAATCACCAACTAGTCACAGGTTGATATTCTTAGAAGAGGGTCTCTTTTGGATATCAAGACTAGAGCACATGAGTGAAATTATATAGAGTAATACTATGCGCACCCAGTCACTTTAACACTAATAATGGATCTAATAACTACAACAGGCTAACAAACAATTACAAATGGAGTAGACCTTTGTTTTGAGTAAATTAACCATCAACTAACTCTGTATGTTAGAAGTGTCAATGATACGAGTTACTTCGTAGGATCTTAGTATCAGAATACCAGAACTTCGGTCACTGCAGCGAACATACAACTAGTAATTTTAAAGATAGGTGAGTTTAAACCATCATTATGTGCAGTGAAAACACCTAACGAAGGTAGACTAACAGTTTCTGTCTGTGACAGGAATCAGGGATTATTTGTAACACACTCGTATAGAATCCTATCACGGTTTCGAAAAGCTTTCTATGATATAAGCGACATTCAGCAAAGAATACGTTTGGCTTTGATTTTATACTTTTATGATAAAAAAACGTAGATGTAATGCATGAATCTGGGAAGATCTATCACAGAAGAGATGATATAATAAAGCAAACTCTACATTTCTCAGTTGGTTTCATAGTTCTTTTGAATATAAGATAGAAAACGCTGAGACATCATATGCCCCTCACAAACTGTAACAGCAATATCAACTAGTTAACCGGTAACTCAGAAAAACAACAAGGAAAAATCCCATTTATGTTAATGTATGTTAATAACAGTAAACCAACCATGATATCTGACATCGACATCAGAATGACGAATTAATTTTCCATTTTTTTCACTTTCTAAACTTGGGCTACATCGTGGATTGAATTCAGCTAGCGGTTGCTCTTGCCCATATAAACCCCAGTTACGTGGAATCACTATGAAAATGTATAACATGAAAGAAACGAACAATATAATGATAATACGTTAAGAATGAATAAAATGCTCAGCAAATAACATGTTTAGCATAACAAGTAGTTATACTACAGTCTATTATCTTATCCTTTGTTAGTAAATCAAAAGAATTACATAATATCACAAACAAAATCTTTGACAGAAGTGTATTGAATCAACTTTCGAACGACATAAAATCATTTAGTGAACAGAAACAGAAAGGTATTACAGTAAGAGATTATGGCAAGGAAGCAACTAAAAAATTGAGAATTATGTATAACAGCATAAATCTTCATTAATATAATAGAATCACATTATAAATGTTTTTTTTCTAAAAATAGAAGAACGATATGTAAAGTTGTTAGTTCAGAAATTAAGTCAGCAGCTACGTGATCATCGATTTTTATCCCACGACACATCGATTTATCAAGCTGCTACTCAATAAGGATGGTATCTACATGCAACCTAGTATTGTGAACGAGAAATCTGTAAGATCCAAACTCAAATGCTCGAGAAACGACCATTGTGAAGTCCATCTGGAATCAGACCGTACGCTAGCTTTGAATTATATTCGGGAAGTGTTAGATACCAGCAAAACTACGACGGGATGCCACTCCGACATAGTCTGTAGGGTGGAATGACAATAAAAGTTATGCGTTAAAATAAACACGTCTACTAACCAGTTTATTGTCACCTGGTTCATTTTGTCGTGTCCCCATCTGTAAGTTTTGAGCGTGTACATTGTCTTTTATTTTGAAGTATGACGAAAGCTTCTGTACAATACAACATTTAATGTATTTTTAGTTTAGTTTCTATAAGAGTGGGTCTAATTCTTTCACACTCCTGCTTTACAGTAAGAAAATGGGTCATCTTTATCACTCAGTATAGCCATATAGAGTGATATCAGACGTTTGATAGTGATCGACAATCCTTAAACTGCTTAGTTTCGAAACTATCTGTTGAAAAATTATGTTAAATACATTAAATATTTGTCCAATTCATCCAAGCTAAACTTTCAGAGAAATTATCAAACTTTCCATGCATTATGTGCTTTCGTAAATTAAATTAAAACATATTTTTGTAACTTCAGAGTTAAGAATTAAATATAATATTACTATGAAGATCATGTAACAATTCGAGTATCAATAGTGTCAACAGAAGACAGTGGAATAGAGGAAGACGCTGTGGTAAGAAAACTAGCTAGTTAACAAGTATGAATGAGGAATCTGGCCACATCGAATAACAATCCAACTTGTAACGCCCCAACACGTCAATATACGAGATAGCACAGTAAAAGGCAGGTAGATACGAGAAAAAATGTAACCTCAAGTCGTGGAAATTTATAAGAGAGAAACAGAGGGTAAAACAAATGACATGTGACATGACGATAAGAATAAAGATAGTGTGTGAATACCTCTGTCAGTAAGGTCAATTTTGAGTCATATCCTCTAGAGTTTCCAACCACCCATTTTGCCTATGGCGTAAATCCCAACCAGGCAGTCCAAATTCCGCTAAACGACCAACACCAACAGTTACAGATTTCTGTTATATCTGGTCACTTATAATCTTTTTCCAACCTGAAGCTATTTCGGCTAACACATGCATATCACATGTCCCAGATGCCGGAATCAAAGAAGGTTTACAATACTAACAAGCGACTCTACACCTGACCTTTAGGTTACTAACCTGATGGTCCAATGAAATAAATAGTCAACGTTACAAAGATAACAGTGCTCGAACAACTGAAGCCTTCTAATGTCCACCGCATTCAATGAACGTTTCACGGCTACATACTAGGACAGACCTAGCACCTAGTGTCTGTCATCCCTACTTGATATTACATAAGCCTTTGTAAAGTAATCCAGCCCACTGTCGACTGACACCTATTATCGCTGTTATGCTAAGATGAATTTTATGTACCTATCGAACTTGCATCGAAACGAAGAACGCTAGGCTGCATATAAACAACCATCTTCACAGCTTAATTCCTTGACTGTAAGAAAAGATATCAGCTGAAGCTGATCTCGATATATTGAATTCTTCTGTAAGATTTGAAACACACTATGGTTTCAAAGTGGACCTGGCTTTTTTTGAATGATAACACAGAAAATCATGCATATGCATAAGTTCTTTCAATCGAAGATCTTGGCTGTCTGAGTTATTGCATATCACTAGCCTACATTTTGCTTTAAAAACAAATTAAGATTAGTAGATGAATATGATATAGCAGAGCAGTCTGTAACAGTGAACCACAGCCAACTAAAATATATTGTTCAGTTCAGTATATTCTATGACACTTTTGCCACCTTATTGAAGTTCAAGCGTTGGTAGAACTAGCATGAGTCACATTAAATCTTATTTTGAAATGAGTTGGCAAAAACGTATATTGAATTCAAATGAAAACAAATACAGTAATCAGGCTTTTCAGCAGGCTGCATGTACATTTTTATGTCGATACTTGTATACTTTAAAGTATAGAATATAAAGCAACAAGTTTTTTCAAACCATCCAGTAAATTGTTGGTCAGAATACCTTGAAATAGTTATAGAATCATTCTTAAGATGTAACAGTTTTATTAACTAGACAACTTTGTATATAATATAACATCTGTATGACTGATAACAGAAAGTCTAAATTTGAGTGAAGCAGAAACTCGGTAAATTCCTCAACATTTTTACGCAGATGGTCGTCCAATGCAACACGTTTAACTTGATTCTGAGAGATAATGTTCTACGCAGCACAATTAACTAAGACTAACAGTAAGCAATAGCAGACTACTCTCCATATGTTTGTTATATGAACACAAAAAGCAGTCAACTGATTTGAACATGAAATAACTAACCTTTTGGTTCAGGTGAAGGTTGCGCTGATGAATCACTGTAGTGATTATGCGGATCCTTTGAATTTAATTGTAACAGACGAATATTACCGCTGAAACTAACACTCTTTTTCGGTCGAGAATTCAGGCTGAAGCTGTCATTTTCTGACACTTCTGTAGGTTCTATATGATTTTTATGAGCGTCATTCTGAGTTTTGTGAGATTTTTGAGTAGAGCAGATCCAGTAGGAGCCACTGTCAACAGATCCATACATTGGCTGACTATTTTTGTCTGGAACTAAGCCACTCAAGTCGGGCTCAGATGAGGATCGTTCAACATTTTCAGGATATTTTAACTGTAAATATAAGTGATAGAATATAAACACCAGAAAGATTAAAAAGAGGACTGAAAGTTTTGGTATTTAAGTTACAACTCTTTTTCCCCTATACCACAAGTTAGCTATGGACTACTAATCAATGTCTAAACAAAAATACACCTATTATACGCAGGATTAGCAAAACGTTTTAGAATCCTATTTCATCCGAGATCTTATAGAATAGTCGGTAGTCAATATCGCGAGTTAAGGAAATCACTAATGGTAATTAGGACAATATCAAGCTTACTATTCGCCTACTAGATACAAATACAGTAGTGGTTACATTCCTACTCTCGACTCTTCTGTAGTGCAATGCAACTCAGTCACTATACATAAACCTTTGCTCCAGGTAATAAGCCATATTTACTTTTTGAGAATTGTCCCTCACTGCTGAAGAGTTCCCACTTTAAAAAAATAACTGTTCAGTGCTCCTTCATTTTCGATAGTTGGTGAAAATTCTCAAATTCATTTTTCATACTGAAGTCAGGAAATGCTACTTAAAAAGTAGCAAAATAAAATTCAAGGTTTTAGCAGCTCTGTTAATTTGCTAAACGAAAGAGCTGTATAAAAATTCCTGATCATCATAAATTTATGTGCATAACAAGTGCAGAGATGAACACACAACAAATTGTAAACTGTGCAATAAGACTCACTTCACTCTGACTTTCTGCTTGTGTTTCTACATGATTACTTTTATTCTGTCCACTAGGATATGGTACAACGTCTGGTGTGTTTACATCACATGGCGTTGTGTTGTTTTGCCCATAATCTTTAACAGTGCGGAAGGGTACTTTATTTTGATCAACCGCTAATTTGGCTGTTCCAGATACAGATTTATTTGCAAATAATTTCGAGGAATTGTCTGAGCATATACTCTTGGAAGGAACCCGACCAGCTGATATAGAGCGACATCCACATTTCGTACACGTGCATTTTTTTTCTGACCGACCAGTAGATAAAAAAGATGCTCGACGCTTAGGCATAGTTGGCGTACCCTTACGATCCTCTTCAGCTCCAGCTTGACTCAAAAATGATAAATCTGGCAATGTATGAGAAAGAAATGCAGAACCAGCCAATCTTGAAGGACGAGGAATTGATAGAAGGCCTAATCCTGGATAGGCGATAGAAGCACGCGGATTACCAATCCAACCAACGGCATAACCTCTAGCAGCACAACCAGCACGTAATGCTGCCATGTACGGAGAGTCGGGTCCAGCGGACGCCGTAAGGCAAGCAGCAATAGTCGGAGGTTCAAGAGGAGAAGGTGAAGAATGAACGTTATTATCTGCATTTCTTTTATTTGCTTGACCATGAAGGGCGGATAGGGGTCTGTTTAAATAAAGTGGTTGTGGGTGGCTACGGCGAACGGCTGCGTAATAGTTAGTATATGCAGCAGAGTTCCCATAACGTAGGGGTAGTTTGGTCGACCATACTGGAGAAACATTTTGATTACTTTCAGATTTCTTTTTAGGATTAAAAGGAGTTTTGAAAGATATTTCTCTGGAATCATCTACGGGAGGAAACTGGGCGCCAAAGTTACGCATAGAACGAGCGACAGCATCAGCACTAGTGTACAAAGGTGAAAATTGGATATTACCCTTGTTAGGTAGAACCCTGTCTTTGCGCAACAGTAAATACTTGTCATTTTCAGTAATTGACCTCCTTGGATCGATCCCACCAAACAAACAACACTTTTTATTGCCTGAAATGCGTGGTGAACTGGTTATTCCTGGTGGATAGTTACGCTTGTTAATAAGCATGTCTGGAGGTTCAGAACCTCCTTGATGTACTACATGACCTGGATTCGAATAGGCAGAATTTGAGTTATCTTTATGAAAAGATGTATTTAAATCCACAGCTGAACCATCACTATGAGCACCTAATGAAGACATACCTCGAGCTCTGGCACGCATGAAGATCTCAAACAGTGTTCCTGAGAATCGATGCATGTGAAAAGCATCAGATATGGGTTGGGAATGTGAACGGTTTTTAACTGAGCCTGACATAACTTGTTTAGGAATGAAAACACCATTTACATTATGCTGGTCTCGTCGGCTCTCACGGGCACTAGATGACTTTCCAAGACTTTCAGCTCGTTTGACAACCCGTTTAAGTTGGTTCCAAGTTATTAACGCCCCATTAGCGTCTTTGATAATTTGCCAAGGAGTTTTATGGTCGTGATGTACCTCAGTTTCTCTTTCTAAGTTAGGATGCGGAAAAACAGTCAGATCACTTGGTCTGAGGGACTTTCTCTTTAAACTCTCACGACTGCCATGCTTTTTCGCCCAAGTTGTTGTGTTCAGAGTTGTCATTTCACAAGAGTCCTTATTATGAGAAAGGGACATTGTATCACAAATGAGATTAGCAGAAACCCCAACAGAACATGATTCAGTATTTTTTTCAACAGGTTTCGGTAGTAACTGAGTTGTTTGTTCTAAAGCATGACGTAAACCCGCCAAACTGGCAGCAGTTAAGAGACTACCCTGACTTAATGAACGACTACCTGGTCCCAAACTTGAACCATTGCACTTCGATAATTCAGTTGACCTTTCCTCAAGCTGGCGTTGTAATCCAATAGAATCACCATATGCTAGCTTGTAGTCGACTGCAGCAGCTGTCCGGTTAATAAGCGCACGTAGCTCAGGGTTGCATGAGCGTTCCATAAGCATCTGCATCCAACTGGTTGAACCTGATGCATTATAATGAACAGAACTTTGAGATTCATTGGCAAACTGTTGGTCTCCTTCAATCTCGCCATTACATTTTGAACCACAGAATCCTGTAGTTGTGCTACGGTTCCTACCGTCAACATTTTTTGGTACCAAAGCATAATTTTCATAGTTACTGGTGTTAACTGAATAAGTCCCAGGAACCTTGAAATTACCAAGATCACTTTCCCGTGAATTAATTGGACTAAATATGCAAGAATCAGAACGAGATTGACCCACTAGATCTGGCTGAGGCTTTCTGTCACAGCCCACTGACTGGACCATTAGCGAGTATCTAGTGTGCTCATCCCCATCTTCCTGCATATGTGAATCCACTTGTTCAGCAAACTCATCATCAAAAAAGTATTCTCCTTGTTCAAGCCAAACTGACGAAATCGGAGGTGTGTCAACTGTAGAATTGATAAGTGCATGTGACATCAATGAGCCAGGGGGAATGTTATGTGCCGAATTGGGTTGCATCTAATAGGCAGTATGTTTTACGTGTGAGTCACAAATTACCTCCAATGGTCGGGATAAATGTGAATCCTGACAACTTCCGTTATACTGCCACGAACGATTAGCTCTTCTTGAATCCATCACGCCATTCAAGATAAGTATACAACTCGAATAACCTGAAAACAAAAGTTTGAACAAGTTTTGAAGCAACAGTTAATAATCCTAAACATTCTAAAATTACCAGTGAAATTTTTTCGGTACCTTCTCCAAACAATACTATGTTATCAACAATCTCCAAGGCATATGCCATAAGATGATTAATTCCGACGAAGTCAGACGAGGATAAAGTGAACTTTGGAAGTTGAAATCTACATGATCATCACCAACCATTTCATCTTAATCTTTGCTTGAGGCTTTATCAGCTCCTCCTGTAGCTAAAATTATACCCCTACAAGTAATTACATGACCAGCCCTAAGGAACATCATTGGTTTACACCGAACCACCAGCTGTACATTGAAAACTTCAAATTTTGAAACTTGTGTTAAATCTAACTGCTGACCTAACCAAAATCCCAGAATATGAATGTCAGTTTTGTCCAGAAGATCCATACGAAGCTATTCACTTTCCCCGACTGGCTAGTGTGGCATATGTGCCCTCTGATAGATGAAAAATTCAATTCACTAATGTAGTAATATCAATACCAATACCAGCATAACGTAAACTACTTCACTACTAGTCACCTGAAGGTTATCTGTGTGCTATGAAGTTGAATAAACCATGAAACACTTCATCTATATGAAATATCCACCCACCAGTCAATCAGTTAATATGAATACGGAACGTGGTCATAGGCATGGTGGCTCGAGTTACTACATCCCACATCAGCACATCAAGTGAGAACGCACTAAGATGAAAGATAAAGAAAATGGTAAAAAATGGACAAAAAGGAGCAAGGAGTAAAAAGACAATGATGAAATTCTGTTTAACGATTAAGATGAAGATGCTGTGTGGCTTCATCGGAACCAGGTAGGTTAATTATAAGCCATATCACCTAGGGTTTCCAAACATTGATTTCGGTTGTCACGGTGACGCCAACCAGCGAGTCAATAGTTCCCCTCATGGCTCAGAAAAAGTCAAGGACTACATGGATTCATGCTATGTTTTAGTTTGGACCCTTCAACCTTCATCCAGCCTGAACTAAATTATTTAAGCAATGGCATAGATGGCGATTTCGCATGCGTTACATGTCACAGCCAACAGAGTCGATGGACCCCAGCCAATAGCTGTTACCTTGACGTGGTTGTCGGGCTTGTATATCATAATGACCCAACGAGCTATGCTACTGGAACGATTGGTCTTTCGAGGTCCTACCGTACCAGAAACGATAGATATAGTAGCAAAAGAAAAAGTAGTTACCGTCATAGTGTAAATTGCTAAGCTATGATAGGGTCCGAGGGAGAGGGCGTACTGCTGCCTGGATGGAGTATAACGACAGCACGGTGTCTCACACGGATTGCCAGTGGTACCACGCTTATGTTGTCTTCCCTATGGGAGAAAGGGGGGCCAGAAAAAGGTCGACAGTAAAAGTACACTTCTACCGGACCTGCGGTCATCTGGCATCAAGGGCAGAGTTTTTCTTAGTCGGCGTTAGAACAACCAAATTGTGAAACAAAGATCCTCACAAAGCTCTGTGAACAGCCTTAAGTAGATATCCCACGGGTTCCTCGGTCACAGAAGTTTGTCTCTTTCAGGTGCCCTGCAGAAACAAGTTCCATAGAATGGGCACCTGGAAAGTGTCAGCCACCCGGACGCTCCCAGTAATACACAAGAACCAATCAAACATAACTTCTCCCCCATGCCTTTGTCTCCTCCTTTGCCTATACCTCTTGATATCTATATTAAGCCACTTACAAATTTCTCAAACTCTCATCCTTCGATCACTATCAGTGATCCAACTCAGAAAAGAATTATTTCTATTATCGTTAAATTCCGCTATCGACTTCATATTGGAGCTTTCAACGTCCGAATTGTGTAAACCTGAACAGCAAGCACCGCTCACCAGAACTCTGGAATCTCGAGCCGTGGATTTATGTTGTCTCTGAGACACATATACAAGACCCGAGTGAAGTTATTAAAATCATCTTATTTGGCTATAGTATTGAATCTTCAATATTTACTTCATGAGTATCCAGAGATTTAACGACTAGCTCAAGTGAACTCGCTGGTGTAGACAGCATTCAGTTATAGGGTAAAAAGTGCACTTCTCGACTAGATACGTCAACAGGCATCTGAATGGATCTTTAAGAACTAGGAGGGATCGCGAGATCAACTGATGCCCTTTTATAATCTCCACACCTATGGGCCACTGATCGCTGTTCGAATGATGCGAAGGATGAATTTGATCAAAGTTGTCAATTTCGCCACAGAAAGCAAAACATTCAGATATAGTCATAATGACAGGCAACCTTAACGCTCAAGTTTAAAATCTAAGCCAGTCGGAAAGGCATCTGCGGAATCCCGTACCAACGAACCAACAAAGTTGATCGTCTATTACAGATTTCTTTCGACAATCATTAGTTTCTGACCAGCACTTTATTCATACGGAGAGATACTGTCTCAAATGTCATACGCCGACATCAAACGAAAGATGGACGTAGGTAAATCACACTGCTATAAGCCATCGCTAGAGCGAATTGACGGATGTTTGCCGCTCTTTCTGGAGTACCTGTTTGGACTCTGATCATGCGTTCGTATGGCATTTGTATGTCTGCACCTTACTGGTCGCAGAAAACAGGCGACAGTTAAACCTACAATCAAAGGTTACTAAATGTCAATGGGTTTCTACTACGTCATCCAAACTGGTTGTTGGGAGAATACTCATTCCAGTTGGCTCTAACGGAGGTAGTAGGTAGCTTATGGGGATTAGAGGCGGTCTTGTCAGATTGGTGTACTTCACTTACCACTTTAGTCGATGAGAAAGAAGAGGTCTTTCTGTGACAACGATAGAGAAATTAGTTTGAGTGGTATCGTGTCCAAGACCCTTTAGTTCATAGTTATCCAACGCCCAAAAGGAGCTCCAGAAAAAACTCGATAAAACCAAGCAGGTTTCAGACCTGTGCAGGGACCCACCGACCAGATTTTCACCCTCCGGCAGGTTCAGGAACATAGCCTTACTTATCTGTCGTCGATAGGTGCCATATTTCTTGGCCTGTAGGCAGCAATCGAATCTGTCAACAAGGAGATGTAGTAATGTCTGACTGAAGAGAGCGAGACTAGATAAGTATGTAGTGCTAATCAACGCTTCAGTAGAAATTTGTGTATTTTTGACATGCATTTGCACCTTCGAAATATAGGATGATGCCTCAGGATTGGTTTTCAACTACTCCCAGTTTAAGGGAAGTGAAGTGGTTAAATGCATTGACCACTACTCTACCTTGAGGAGTTCCATCAGATCGAACAGGCTGGTTGGTGATGAAGTCTCAGCTCGGATGAAACGACTACCTATCAAAGGATGACCATACTCCACTAAAATCGGCTCTTTTATCATACGACTGAGATACAGTTGCTGGAGAAAGAGGCCACAAATTTTGACAGCATTGCTCAAGTATATTTGAATCACCGTATGAGCAAGATAGAGGTTGAGTGAAGGGTACTTGGCAAGGAAGGGAGGTCGGTTGTTGAAGCTGTGAACCTTGACCAAGTAAAAGGGATGGGAGATGCATCGTGCATACCGAGCCACCACCTACCTAAACGTGCAATATTAGCCGACGTAGGACTAGGTTGGAAGAAGACTAATGGTGACTAAACCACGAGTCACCCGTCGACGAAGCGCCTGATTGGTGGTTTGAACTGTGTAGGGAAGTGGAGATTATCTAGATGGGGTTCTCGAGGTAATATGACTCAACCATGGAAGACTTGGTGACATGGTTGAAAATCGGTCATAATCGTGCAGATGCATTCACTTTTTGATTTCTTCTAGTTTGAACATTTCCACTTATCATTATTAAGGATACCGGTAGGAAAACGGTAGCCAGCGAAATCACCAAAAAGGATGGAACACTGATAACCTCCCAAGAAAAAACAGCTAGGACGTCGGGCAGAACTCCTGGAAGCACAGTTCAACTGGCTCTCAGCAACGCTTCAGTTGCACAACATCAAAACTGAAACGATGCAAAGCAGTAGGACCTGACGGTTTGCCACTTGCAGTTTTCAGGGGTGGAGGTAGGAAATCTCTAATTAAATTGACGAACATACTAGGTAGTGCATGGCAATCAGAGGCAGTGCCGTCCAACAGTTGTACTTCACTGATCATTCCAGTCTATAAGAAGGAAGAGAAATCTTTCTGTAACAACAATAGGAGTATTAGTCTGATTAATATTGTGTTTAAGATCCTAGGGCCCATAGTTATCCAACGCCTAACTGAAGCTCGAGAAAGCCAGTTAGGTTTCAGAACTGTACGGAGGTGCAATGATCAGTCTTTCACCCTACAACAGGTTCTGGAACAGAGGCATGCCGACCGGCCCATGGCCAATATTCCTTGATCTGAAGGCGGCGTTCCAATCTGTCGACCATGGTGTTGTGGCAGTGTCTGACTATGGAGTATCGAGAACGTGTATGACGCTAATCAAAGCTCTTCACTCTAACTCACGCAGCTGTGCCAAGGCTTATAGAGAGTTGTCATCAGGAATGATGACAACTAGTGGTGTCCGCCAGGGATGCCCACCGTCGCCGTTCGTATTAACTTCGTCATGGACGTACCAGTGGACGTAAGCATAGATACGTCTGACTTCACAGGGACTGACCTAGTTCCTGGAGGTCATCCAGTTGACTTGGATTATGCAGACAATATTGCCATGCAGGTGATGCTGACGCAATGATAGGTCCTGTGAAGGTGTAGACCAGAAATTTCATTGTTTGGCATGCGTTTCACACGTGTTAGATGTAAGATTGTTGTGTTGCAAGTACTCTCAGTTTAGTGATAGGGAGGGGGTGAAGTGGGGGAATGTGTCGACCACTTCACTTACTTGGGGAGTTGCATCAGCCCGGTAAACGGGCTGGTCGCTAACGAAATCTCAGCACGAATACAGAAGGCCTGCTTGGCATTCGCCAACTTGCGTGACCTGTGGCGCCGGCGAGACATCCTACTATCTGTCAAAGGACAAGTATACTGCGCTGAAGTTCATCCTGTCTTGTTGTACAGCTGTGAGAAACGGTTGTTTGAAGTAGACATGGAGCGATTACAGGGTTTTGATCACAGATGTCTTCGTAGCATTTTTTGCGTATGATGGAACCACTGTGGGAGCAATGCTGAAGTCAAGCAAAGGGTACTACGCAAGACAGACATGTCGATTGATGAGGTTGTGGACCTTAATCAGCTGAGATGGCTTGGACGCGAACTACGCATACCGATCGACCGCTTACCCTGACGTGCAGTGCAAGGAGAACATGAATTATTTTTTAAGAGTTTTCGGCGGCCAGACCAAGATGTGGCACTAGTTGATGATTTCCCTAACTGTTGGTCTGGGTCATATAAGAGATGCAGACCCCCTAGTCGGGATCTCCGAGACGACAGGGATCAGTGGTTGAGGACTTTGGTGATGGCAGAAAATCGGTCACAGTGGCGATGTATTCCCTTCTTAGTATCTTTTAAAGCTTGAATATTAGAACTAACCTTCCTCAAACCGTTTGTTATCTCAAACAACTGTATCTGCTTTGACATCAGTCTTGCCTTATCCACTTTAAGTTTGTATGCTGCCGTTAAGTGTGTCAACTTGAATAGGTGCACTTACATGTAAGGATAGACGTTGATCTTGCATGTGTGTTAATCCGTTTCAGGTAGCTAAAATTTAATCGCAAAGGCAAACGAAGTTATGTTTACCTGGCAATTTCCGGCAACTACCCTGAAGGTCAATTTCCTCACCCATAGAGGAGCAAACATACGTCGATGTAGAGTGACCTAATACGTGCATGATTACTGTAATTACCCCGACCGATTACATCAAACTATAACTGACTGTCCTGTTTTACCCACAACGTTACATCTGACTCAGAATTTACCTACTCTTCAATGCGTCAAAATATGACGTGCCATAAAAACTGATGTATTGCTTCTGTTTTCTCGACCACTATGAAGACTGCACCGTTGTAGCTTACGCTCAGCCTTTAATATGAGATTCGAGACAAAAGAGACGCACAGCCACCTTGCGTATATCCGAACAGTAGGGAATGAGCTGCACTTACTGTGTGAGGGCTAGTCATACTATCTGCTCGCCCAAACCTCGGTAGGTGGAGCGGAGTTCGGACCCGTGACCCACTGATTGATAACCATATCCTTAAACCACTGAGCCACAGCTCTACCCTCTATCATGCGGCTCGATATCACAATATGCACGGGAAACGTTAACTGGTTACTTCCAAATGCTTGTGTAATAGTAAGCAGATATCATCTGTTAGCAATCTACAAGTAGTGAAAAGCAATCATAAATATAGTAACTTTCGCAGTGTTATCTAAATTAGCATCTCTTTAGATAAGGTAAACAACTTTTTGGAATGTGCATGATACTTTGAATTTGGACATACAAGCTACTTGTCATAGATGACTTACTTGTTAAAATCTTAGGGACAATAAAAGCCCAAAAAATTGTAAATTAATCGCAGCCATTTCGACTGCTCTAGCTGCATATATGCTGGGTAGATAAATACCAAACTTTGAAAGATAATGAGACATAAGTAGTTGAGTTTCACTGTGAAAACCTTTCATTATGAATTACTAAATGTAAAAGATAGGTTTTAGATTGTCGCAACTGTCGGTAACTTAACAGGGAGATGAGGAGTTTACATGAGGTAATTAAGTGACTGCCCGGAGAGGTCTAGGTGAAGTGATAAAACAGAACCGTCTAATTCAGTCGCTCGACTGCCATACTACTCCAGTCTAAAAATAAAATACATGGACATAACAGAAGGCCGTTGGTTGCACCCTTAAACGTCACTTATGAACGTACATCAAACACTTTAAACGATGAACTGTGTAGACTGTGGACACTCAATGAACATTATGAGTGGTGGAGTTAACAAATCAAACGCATATAAGTGATTTTAATGTAGGGGGAAATTATGTATATTACGTGCATATGTATAGAAAATCAAAGCCCTATATTTCTCAAAAACGGTGAGAACGTCCATTTATATTGTGAAATAAAACTTACTTTGAATGGTAATCTTACACTGCTTACAGTCCTAACTCTCATGTAAATGCCGGAAAACGTCAAGGTCAACCAAGTGTAAGTCAAGCGCCAGTTTATTCATAAACAACCAAAACAATTATAATCAGACCAATTTCACTTGATTTCAGACGGTTGATGATGGAAAGAAATAATATTTTTCTTCAACCAGCTCTCAATAGCAGAAGCAACTTACCGCCATTTTCCCAGCCAATGGAGCTAGGTAAATGAAGAGAAAATATATCAGATAACCCGCAGCTTAGTTTGTAAGTTTACACTTCAGCTGTGATTAAGCATCCGTTTTGTGTTAGAATGGATCCGGTGAAGTAGTCGGAGTAAGACCTCCACATGAAAGCCATTTCAAGACTTGCCATTTCTTAATAAAGAAAAGTTGTACTTACTATCCAACCTGCTATGCTCCGTGCACTTGTGGAAAAGTAATCCAAACTTTTACTTTGTGCTGCTCAGTGAGGAAATGAAAACTCTTTTTCTGTCGGAAACACATACTTCCGAGCTAAAGGTGTAGAAATACTCTGTGTTGATTTTCTACTTTACTGGGATACCTTAGTACCAAGTTTGACACAAACTTTTAGCGCTAAAATTACACCAGTTCTCCGGTTCTTCAAAGTACTTCTGGTTTATTTTACTGAGCTTCTCTACGACGGTGGTCGTGAAAAGCAGGCGTGTAGAACACAATGTGCACTTCAGACCGTTTTTAGCTAACATTCGCAACGGCTCGATTCATGACGCTAGTAGGGGTCTGTAGCGTCATACACTTCCCCAAAATCAATAGCCTAGGGTTTGACGACTTCGACATTGATGCTGACCTTGATAGTTTAACTGGACTCGCTAAGCTGAAGGCATCCGGTCAAGCATCCTCGCCATTTGGCACGCTGTCGTGTTACGTTGCATTGCTCGTATTCGACTCTCTAGCCAGTTAGTTGGAACGCATCGGTATTTTGGCATAACCATCCAAATATACTATTCCATCCGACTACGCTATCGTGTTCTTCCTTGGTCTCGTATTCGTGGGTATATAACAAGTTCGAATAATTAGTGATTGGTCTTTGCGTCTGTCAAGTTCGCACCAGGACAAATCCTAAATTGGTGAGCCCGACGTGATCAAATATCCCGACGTGATCACATATCCCGACCAATAACAAGTATTGAATTGGTGAGCCTGTTCCATTTTATATTTGTTTATTGTTTTCATTTCGATAACATTTATATATCCATTTACTACACTTTCTCATGTCCGACCACACTCCCAAGCTTATTCGTATTAAGCCGACCTCGAACACGATCCAACTCGTGCCATATTGGCCAGACAATGCAGAAACATGGTTTCTGTATGCCGAGGCCGATTTTCGAGAACAGGGTGTCTCAGATCCTCAATCTCGATTTCTTGCCGTCATACGTTCACTACCGCGAGAATTAAACAGGTTTGTTACAGCAAACATGTTTAATCCTGAAGTAAGTGACCCTTATGCACTTCTAAAGGCTGCACTCTTGAAGAAAAGCGATCTCACAGATCGCCAACGTCTAGACGAATTGCTTCGTAACATCGAGCTAGGCAGCCACTCAGCTACTGAAGTCCTCGCACGCATGCGAGAAGTAATCGGTGCACGAACATTTGACGATGGTTTCTTCCGAGAACTATTTCTCTCGAAACTACCACAACCGGTGCAAACCGTGTTGGTGACACTCCAGTCAGTCCCACTCGACGACCTGGCAGCCTCAGCAGATAAAATACTGGAGATATCCAGCAGACCCGTCTCCAACGTATATTCTATCTGCGACAAAACAGAGCGCCAGGATTCGGAGGTGACCAAGTTGTGCAACTCTGTGAAACGGTTGCTACGATCTCGAAGTCCTAGATCACGTAGCACTTCACAGAAACGCACCTTGGCGCATCGCAGCAAGTCGCGTGGTAGCCCTAAAACGAAACCCAACAGGGTGGAAAACCCTGAATGGTGCTGGTTTCATAACACTTACGGGGATGAAGCCAGAAAATGTCGTAAACCATGCCGTTTTAAGAAGGACCAAACTCGGGAAACGGTCACGCCGGCACGTGCTCACGGCAACCGTAGCCGGCGGAAAAAGCCGTTTGCTCTACGTCACCGACATTAAAACGAAAGTCCGCTACCTCGTCGACACCGGCGCAGAAGTTAGCGTTCTTCCAGCAACGACAAAGGAGCGTCATCTCGACCCATCCTTCAATCTTCAAGCAGCCAACGGCAAGGCAATCGCGACATTCGGGAGACGGTATGCCTACCTCAACTTAGGTTTACGCAAACCTATTCACTGGATTTCCTCCTGGCAGACGTCTCTATGCCCATCATTGGCATAGATTTGCTGAACCATTACGATCTACTCGTAGATGCTCGCCGTCGACGACTGATAGATAACAGCACAAAGTTATCTATTGGCGGCACCACCTATGTAGGTCCGAGTTTAGCCATCGTTAGGACTAAACAATCAGGCGACGCGTCCTACCAGGCAGTTCTGGAGAAATATCCAGAGTTACAACAACCGAAACACACTCTTCCGTGCATAACCAGCAATGTTATGCATCACGTCACAACCACAGGTCCACCTGTGGCATCCAAAGCGCGCCGTCTAGCTCCCGATAAGCTCCAAACGGCGAAAAATGAATTCGACCACATGCTCGACCGTGGGCGCCAATTTGAGTGCGGACTATTTCACGCTCTAACGGCACTTTTAGGTTGCACTCGGTTCCGAACGACAGCCTACCATCCACAAGCAAATGGCATGGTAGAGCGTTTCCATCGACAGCTGAAAGCTTCCCTTTCAGCTACAAACATACCTCAGTGGACCGAGGCTCTGCCTCTAGTCCTACTAGGTATTCGTAACGCGTTGAAAGTTGATGCTGGATGCACCCCTGCAGAACTCGTCTATGGGACCACTCTTCGCCTACCAGGTGAGTTTGTTTCCCCTTCAACTTTCAAACACGTTTCCGACAGGGCATCTTACGTGACTAGGCTTACAAACGCAATGCGTTCAGTTAGGCCTTCTCCGATTAGACCGCAAACGACTGATGTTTTCGTCCACCCCAGTTTACAGAAGACATCACACGTGTTTGTTCGCCACGACGCTGTTCGTCGACCACTTGAACCACCCTACGACGGGCCGTTCAAAGTGATTAAGCGACATGAGAAATTCTATATAATTGAGCGAGGCGGACGTGAAGATACTGTCAGTATCGACCGTTTGAAACCAGCTTATTTCGAAGGCAACCCCATTGTAAGTGACGTTTCAGCTCGCTACATCCGGCCGACGGATGACTCAATTATCGAAATTCTCGACGATGTGCCTGGTAATGCACAGCTGCAACAACCAGCGGCGCAACAAAAAACACGATCAGGTCGAACCGTCAGGTTCCCAGAGTACCTGAAGTCATATTCAACTTAGCTATGTGTGTGCCAACCATTTTTTTTTTTTCGAGGCACTATTTTTCTTATTTACCGGCACAAACCCTCGTACACTTTGCCTTTTTATATCAATTTTTATTTACCATGTAATAAAAACTAAAAAAACCGGCGAAGATAAGCGTAAATTTTTATTTTTCGACATGTTTATATATAAATAATTCCCATTTTTACGCAACGTTTTCGTGGTATTAAAGACTTTTATTTATATTCCAGGTGCAACGAGCACTGGACGGAACGTCGAAAGGAACAGATGACCGCGACCGACGTACAATTTCATTTATTGTATTTTATTTATTTAATCGCCACGACACTTTAGAATAAGGTTCAGACAACCAGGGGCCACCTCACGCAGTGAGCCCATCGGGAGAGTTTTACCAGTGGAGAAACCACTGGGTTTTTACTTCCGGCTGGTATCGTCTTAGGGTCCTCACGAACCCACTAGGGGGGGAGTGATCTGTAGCGTCATACACTTCCCCAAAATCAATAGCCTAGGGTTTGACGACTTCGACATTGATGCTGACCTTGATAGTTTAACTGGACTCGCTAAGCTGAAGGCATCCGGTCAAGCATCCTCGCCATTTGGCACGCTGTCGTGTTACGTTGCATTGCTCGTATTCGACTCTCTAGCCAGTTAGTTGGAACGCATCGGTATTTTGGCATAACCATCCAAATATACTATTCCATCCGACTACGCTATCGTGTTCTTCCTTGGTCTCGTATTCGTGGGTATATAACAAGTTCGAATAATTAGTGATTGGTCTTTGCGTCTGTCAAGTTCGCACCAGGACAAATCCTAAAGGTCTAATACAGGCTGAGTAAACCAAGATCTAGTAGGTGTGGATGCAAATGACACTTATACGCATCTTCAAATCGGCAACAAAAAACTTCTTTTGAGCACTGTCAATATTTTAACTTGAATCTGGAAAGCTGATAGCCAACCGCAGGAAGATTCACAAAAAGTGAGAAGTTTGAGGTCAATGGTGAGGAATCTGGAGTTATGAAATCATCGAAAAAGAGCATTGCTCAAGGTGCCTGACAATAAAAATTAGCAACTCTTACTAAGGATATGCTCCATCTCCATAACGAAGCAAAATCAGCAGTTTCACGGCCCCCCAGAAGGATAATTCTTTAAATTATATATAACTGGAGCACTATGGTGGGCTATATTTCGATTACAGTTTGTTTCTTAGATATGCCATCTAGTGAAACGGTTTCGTTTACCGGATTGTTGCTTGGACATGATTTATTGTCATATCGATACCGGGCAACTTCAAAAATTTGAGGCATGGCCCATGAAGTTTTAGGCCTACCTCTGCGTTCGTGATGCAATTTTTGGGATTTCCGGAACAGATGATGAATCATTTCCGTTGCACCGGTTTCAGGCACACATGCTTTTGTACCACCCTGTGGCAAAGGAGGACATGGAACTAGAACTATATAAACCACCTCTCGAAACCGTGGAGTTACATGTAGTGAACTCGGTCCCAAACACGATTCAGTTAGTTATACCATTTCACTGTATGACAAGTATTAAAAACAAGCTGAATTGAAATGTTATCACCAATCTAAGAGATATGGAATGAAAGCGTACCGCATGGTTAGGACATCAAGGACTTCCTCCACCACACACAATAACAGCGCCTGGTTTTCAACTTCACTCAAGGTCTTTG